GTAACATTTTAAGATCCAACAAATACATAATCAAATAATTAGTATGGAATAGCCAAGAATGGGAAAGTCATGATGTGTAAGAAAACCTAAATCAAGCACGCATCAAATCATACTGATCCGCATGTAAAAATTTTGCTAAATACACATATTACTCATTATCAGACCATATCTATTGGCTTTTAAATTAACATATTGTGAATATAAAATTTAAACGCCACTTAGTAAGACTTCCTTATGTTACATTACAAACTGAGAGACTATTAAAACTAATGATTATTTTAGAAGGGGGAAAAAAAAAGAAAAAGCTTACCGCACCTAACTGAGTAAGACTTCCATGTTTCAAAAAGAGGATGCAACTTCAAATTTAGCGTTATGAAAAAAAAAAGAGAGAGAGCAGCAAATTAGCGTTGCAGACGCACAAATTAGTCTAGAGTTCCATAAACAAAAATGATATTTATGAAATGATTTGAAGCGAGAGATATATAGCTGCAACTGCTATAGATGTGAACAATTTATTTAGCTCGATATCAGTTTTGCTGTAATTGCGGATATCGTGATTTTATGAATATCAACTGATCTAGTTACTATTGAAATGAACTCGTTCTATTGTGTTATTTGCCATCAAGTTGACTACACTTTGAAATTCCCAAAACCAAGTTACTTCAATGGCTACGATAGTTCTTAAAAAGCCTTTCAAAAGCATATAAATAAAGCAAATATGAAGAACTTAAGTATAACATACTACGACATTTCTTCTACATTCCACCCACAAGAGCAGACCTTACCAAGATATGAACATCAAGGAAGACCCCCTCCACCTTCTTTAATTCTGTCAATCTCGCAAAAAACAGGCCCTATTTATCCAATGGTAATCAAGCACATAATAATTCCAATAACTTAGACGTGCGTAAAGAAATTCAGAGATGAAATTAATAACATTATCTCACAATTGGGCTACATAAGTATCTTCTTCATCCTTTTAATTCAAGAGCATGCAGAAGTGTCTGTCATCAAGCTAAGTAATATATGGTGTTGGACAACGCGGACAACAACAGACTCAGGAGAATTGCGAGGCAAACGCACGCACGAAGGCACTTCAATGGGGCGAGTTCCTGACCTAATGGTTACGGGGATGGCCACATGCGATGGCAAAATAAATATTGGCAGATAGACAAAGGCAAATGGGGGAGGCAAAATTTGAACCAGCACAACTTGAAGCATGCCCCAAGAAATCTATAGTGCTGGTCACATGGTACAACGCGACAAAGAAGATGTGAGGAGGAAGGAAAAGGCACCTGACGGAAGCAACCCAGGGGCATAGAAACTAGAGGCGTGCAGGGAGGAAGACGAGACTTGTCGTGGTGCCAACGAAACATTGACGAGGAAGAAAAAGAAGAAAGGCGAAGAAGACGCGGGAAGAAAGGAAAAATCGACAAGGGGAGAGCAATTTGGGTATTTTACTATTCCAGACCCTTTACATGGTTTACTGGGGGCATTGTTGGCATGTCACTGTTCATGTACTGTTCACATACATCCCAAATTGATATATATTATAGATATTTTTTAAATATTCCAGCAATAACAAATTGCGCTCCCACTTCAAGGGAAACAGTTAATTTGGATAGACTGGCGTGCGTGCATCTCCCTTACCAATGCTTATCGGCTTCACAACGCCTTCCCAGAAACACAAAACCTCCATGAATCAGAACTCGGAGTAATGTTTATACATAGCAGACTAGAGACGGCTTTAATTCCTGTCTAGATAAATAGATATATAGTCACCGCATTATTCCCTGACTTGTTTGATTTCTTTTCTCCATTTAACAATTTGTTCACCGTCCACAGATTGAATACATCACTCACCACACCAGGTTGGAGAATTAATATACATGCATGGATTATTATATATGGATCCATATATCCTGCATCTGTGTCTGCAGTACTTTATATCTCCCATGCTTAAATTAATGTGCATCGATCGATCTTATATCAGTAGTTAAAATTCACCCACCTCATTTACTTTAGTCACATGCATGCCTTACAAAACCTCGAGCCTTGGATGTGTCCCTCTGTATTTATGACCATGCAACCGTCCCTTTTCCAAATTAATGGGATCCAGTCGCGAGATCTGCTTTCGCTCCCAATACTGCTAAGCATGTACAGCACTATTATCTGTCCTTGCTGAATTTGAATTCGATAACTATACTTAACACAGGCATTGAGCGTTTCTACCGTCTAAATTATTAAAATTTAAATCAATAATTATGAATTTAAATTTCACTTGATATTCACCAATGAGTGATTTTATTTAAATCATTGATCTATATTTCAACAACTCAGATGATATAAGTACTCAATGTTTATATAAATATAGTTACGAAATCTAAATTCATTGTTGCTCTAGATTTTTGTAGATCAAGAGCGTTAAAAAAAATAAAATAAAGAGAATGGTAGATGGCCGATCGATCAACGCACTAAGTCCTTAGGAGAGCGAACACTTCAATTGCATTTGAGCTTATAAATGGCCTTTGTATGCGTATATTTACGCTGACCTTAATTTGATGGAAAATAAACTCATTGCCAACGGAACTTCCCTTAAAGAATGCTGTGACGTGGAGGAAAATTTTTTTTTTTTATAAAAAGGATATGCTTTTTGACCTTGATAATAAGAAAAATAAAATTTCGTGTGCATCTAGGTTCAAAATAAAAAAATATTAAATACTTGAAATACGATTAATGTTAATATAATAGTAGCATGCATATTGCGTATCTTTAAGAAGGCGAGTGGAAGCGTACAAGGCAAAGCTCAGGTTAGTATATCCTCCTAAAAAGCGCCGACAAATGTGAACGTAACAGGGCCTATTAATTGCCATGCCAGGATGAGGGAAAAAAGGAGAGAGACCGGCCATTAAAGATTCTTCAATTATATTGGACAATATAATTTGGGATCTTTTCTTCATGTTACTTTGGGGTTTCTTGCCAGTTCAATTGGACTCCGTTCTCACACGCTTACAAGACATCAATCCAATTCAATTTGCATTGACCAAATCCAACAATGACCTGATTGAGACTAATTAATTATAGCATAATCCTATATATCCCTTGCCTCCTAGTTCCATCGTAATATAAGTAATAATTAATTAATTTATAATTTATAAATAATATTAATTGAAATTTTAAATTTTTAAAAAGTTCATGTCTTTCTATTTATATCTTCATTAAATACCTCATATAAGAATCTTGATAATAATAATTAAAATTGCAATGCATAATTTTTTTAAAAAAAACTAATAAATGAAGTATAAGTATAGTTGAAAAAATAAATCTAAAAATTATTCAATGCCTTATACTTTGAATCAGGTAAAATTTTTAAAATATGACTTATATTGTGATTTAGAGGCAGTACATACCTTCAAAATCTCATTACTCCCTCCATTCAAAAATATAAGATATTTTTTGAGGAGTTGGATATTAAAAAATATAAGGCATTTTTAGTCTTTTGAGATGTAATCATTGTTTTTTTTAAAAGTGACCCTATTGATAAATGACTTTATATTTATTGTAGAGTATTTAATAAAGATAAATATGAAAAGATAAAATTAGTTTGAAAGTAGGTAACTCTTTATTGAAGAGATGAGATTCTGTTAAAAATGACTTACATTTTTTATTGGAAGGAGCAATTTTTTATCTACTTTTTCACATCTTTCTTTATTTAACAGTACAAAAATATAAAAATCTTAGCACATGTTTGGTTTCTATTTTCATTTTTTATTTTTAAAACTTATTTTATAATCCAATTTTTAAATTTTTTTTCAAAACAAAACAAAATAAAAATATGTTTAGCTATCTTAATTTAAAAAATTTAAAATTTAAAAATAGACTGATAGTGATAATTATATAGGCAGTTAAAGGTGGAGATTTATAATAAAAATTGATCCAGATAACTATAATTTTAAATAATTAAATATAGTATATTTTAAAAATAAGAAAAATAAAATGAAAATAACTTAAAATTGTTTCTATTTATTTTTTTAAAACAAAAAATAGAAATAATTTTGAAAAGAATTTAATTGAAAACACTTATCTAAACAAGTTTTTAAAATTTTCTATTTTTTTACAAAATAGGTTTTTAAAAAGTGAAAACAAATAGGCCCTTACCCTTTGTTTAGATGGAAAGAAAAATTAAGAAGAAAGAAAATAAAGAGAAGAGAAAATATTTTTTTAAAAAATATTATCCTTCCTTTAGATGAGCAGGAGAAAATAAGAAAGAAAGAAAATGAGCAAATGGTATAATGACTATGATACCCTTATGTTAGAATATGTCATGTTTCATATAATTATTTTTGTAAAAACAAATTAAAAGGAAAAATTATGTTAAAATTAACTTCATAAAAAAATTTAAATCAATTTATTTATTAAAATATATATGATCGTATTACATATATATATATATATATTTTTTTTAAAACCAAATAATTTAATAAAAATATATTATTTTTTATTTAAAATATTAAAAAGGGATCATTTATTAAAATTAAATATAAATCATCTATACAGTGTACAGTAGAACATTGTAGCATCTGTTGAAGAAGAAAAAACCAAGAAGAGTAGGAGAGAGAGATTTTGCATAAAAAAGAAATTGACAAAGTATACAGTCTAAAAGAGAGAGAAAAAGGTCAAAAAAAAAATACATATAAAATAACAAATTATTTTAAAAATCTCTCCATATATGGAGAGAAAACTTAAAAAATAATAGGTGTCACCTTTAATTTTTTTATCCTATTTTACCTTTCTTATCCAAATAATTTTTTTTTTTCGCCTCTTATTCTCTCTTCAAACAAAACAAAGCATTAGCGATCTCCTGTTCGAAAAGTGGGTGGCAGTTCTATTCTATTGAATTCTATATCTGGTGGGGGCCGGGGTAGCCCAAGTTATTAAATTAGGCACTACAATTCAAAGCCGCAACAAGAGATTATATATATATATATATATACAGCACTCGTTCTGAATTGGGAGCGATTCGCATGACAGAGTTTAGGTGGGCGTGTTACGTCGATTAGCACCAGGCTGTCGAAACGAACGAGACGCAAAGATCGATTTCCCCATGGAGAGCAGGAGATGGATTTGTATTCTAATGTGCGCCATCATGAGCTGGAGCAGCGTAGCTCCGCGAGCAGAGGGTCGAGCATTCTTCGTGTTCGGAGATTCACTGGTGGACAACGGCAACAATAACTACCTCGCCACCACCGCCCGCGCCGATTCCTATCCTTACGGCATCGATTCTCCCTCTCACAGAGCCTCGGGCCGTTTCTCCAACGGCCTCAACATCCCCGACATCATCAGTAACTTACACTTCGCTCCTTCTGTCATGACCTCCATTTATTGTAGATCTAGCTACATGCTGATCAACACCCACTATATGCTTGCGTGCAGGCGAGAAAATTGGATCCGAACCCACGCTGCCATATTTGAGTCCAGAGCTCAACGGAGAGAAGCTCCTGGTCGGGGCCAACTTTGCTTCCGCCGGAATAGGAATTCTCAACGACACTGGAATCCAGTTTGTAAGGCCCCATCTAACTTCATATTACTTATTGGATGATGTGACGTAATAGAAGAGCAGGGTGGTGATGAAATGTATGTGTAAAACGGGTGCAGATAAACATAATCCGGATCGGGCGGCAGTTGCAGTTGTTCGAACAGTACCAGCAGCGGGTGAGCGCCCTGATCGGAGAGGAGCAAGCAGGACGACTGGTGAACGAAGCACTGGTGCTCATAACGCTGGGCGGCAATGATTTCGTCAACAACTATTACCTGGTGCCCTTCTCCGCTAGATCCCGCCAGTTTGCCCTCCCCGATTATGTCGTCTACCTTATCTCCGAGTATCGCAAGATTCTCGCGGTACGCCTTGTCTGCCAATAATCTTGATCATAGTGTAGCCCTGCATGTTTATTGCTTGCTAACAAAACACACAGTCCTAGGGGTAAGGTCATGCGGCAATTAAATCCAAACCCAGAAAATAAATATTATAAAATGACAAGAGTAGGGTAGTAATGAACAGATGGTAAAGCTTGTCTTGGCGTATTTAATATTTGGAAGGGTTGGGAAGGGAATTAAAGAAAGAATAAATGCGGACGCAGAGACTGTACGAGTTGGGAGCGAGGAGAGTGCTGGTGACGGGGACAGGACCAATAGGGTGCGTGCCTGCAGAACTGGCGTTGCACAGCAGGAACGGAGAGTGCTACGCGGAACTGCAGAGAGCAGCAGGTATGTTTAATCCGCAGCTGGTCCAGCTGCTCACCCAACTCAACTCTGAAATTGGCTCTGATGTCTTCATCTCCGCTGATGCCTTCGCCATGCACATGGATTTCATCTCTGATCCTCAAGCTTACGGTAATTTTTACTCCCTCCCTCTCTTTTTATAACAGGTTTTCTAAAAGCTTACGTTGTTTCTTATGTTTTTTCTTGAATAATTATACAATGTTGCCTTTGTTTTTGAAAGATGAAAGAAGCGTCAATTGTATGTTCTATTCATCACTATCTTAATATTAATTATGATATTATTGAAAACAAAACTGAAAAATTATATTGATTTTAATTGCTTCAACTAAATAATAGTAAACTTGATAAACGGATTCGGTTAAGGAGCGCTCCTTCCTTCTATGCCAATATCTACCCTTTTCTTGCACAATCAATATCGGGTACATTACTGGGGCCCAGGACACCGCACGTTTATGTACGTTGCTCTGAGCAAATGCAAATGTACATATGTTTGTTTGTCTAATTATGGTTGACAGCGAGTTAGGAGCGACTCGATGCACCAGCAATTGCACTTAATCTAATATAGTTCTCTATCCTATATATATATATATATATACACAAGGTATTTTTTATAAATTTATTTTATCTTTAAGTATAAAAAAATGTATAATATTTTTAAATAATCAAATAATTTTATTCTTATATTGAAAAAGCGAAGAAATATTAATTATGTGCTTTATTCAACACCACAATAATATTAGTTGACATTATTTGGGGTAGAAATGGAAAATTACATTGATTTAATGATATTTTAACTAAATAATAAACTTTGATTGATATACATAATTTGATTAAAAACACCTGTATATAAGAACGACAAGAGTACGTTGTTATTCCCTCAGTGGCTTCTTTAATTTGTCCTAAACTAATTGGTGTCGGGATTTGAGGCCGACATTTTTTTTTTTTTGGTTGAGAAAATGGAGAAGTGAAGCGGGGATGGGTGTGTGCGCGCGCGCGTGTGTGCAGGATTTGTGACGTCAAAGGTCGCGTGCTGTGGACAAGGGCCGTACAATGGGATAGGACTGTGCACTCCGGCGTCGAACTTGTGCCCGAACAGGGACATATTTGCATTTTGGGATCCCTTTCATCCCAGCGAGAGAGCCAACCGACTGATCGTCGACAGATTCATGACCGGATCCACCCAGTACATGAACCCCATGAACCTCAGCACCATCTTGGCTTTGGATTCTAGGACCTAGCCTTTAGTTATTTATATACAGTGCAGCATCGTGCTTTCTCTTTATTATTTGTCCTCCTCCTACTTTTATGTTGTATTTCATCATTGAACTGAGTGATGTGTCTCTACATGCCCTCGTCTGATTCTTCAAATTAATTATGGAATGTACGCGTCCATGCAATGCTCTTAATGTCCTGAATAAGAGTATAAAATCGTCTTAATCTTAACTCAGGCCATGCCGCATCAATGAAAGGCCCGTTTTAGTGGAACGTGTATTTATTAACAAATCTGCATTTGCTACTCCTTTCTTTTCTAGATTCTGCCATCTGACGCCGGGAACGCAATGCCCCTGTGTTCAATGTGCGCCGTCCAAATATTGCAACCCACATCCTACGCCATAACACGTCACCTCATCATTCTGTTTTTATTTTCACATTTTTGTGAAATCGTAGTCTTCCCTGCGGTCAGTCTTTTCAAAATCCCCTGTGTCCTGGTTTAAATATGTGTCTGTCTCTCGCAAATGGTTTGGTTTTCCTCATGCTAGAAAAATGGATTCACAGGAAAGCGAATCTGAAGTGGTTACCAGGATTAATTTTACTTAAATTACATTTAAGTTATAAATATGTGTCTTGTATAGACATTACAGACAAACATTTCCTACTAATATCCATGCGGTTCATGTGATAGATATGCTCGTTAAGGGTGACAATGATCGCCATTCAGTCCATGATCCAGGTTTAAAATTGAAGTTTGGCGTATGTGAAACAAACGATCCTTAAACAGTTAAAAATTGCATATGAGCCTTTAATTTACAAGTATATTTTACTGTCAAAAATTGACATGCATATAGCGCGCGCGTGTGTAGAGAGAGAGAGAGAGAGAGAGATTTTTATCAATATTTTTTTTGGCACAAGGATTTTTTTCATCTCATGGGACAGGCCGACGAAGCCTGAGTGAAAGTAAATGAGAGAAGAGAGCTGGCCCGGCCTTAAACATGCCTACTCGCATTGACTTGTTCACAATAGTCAATGCACCTTTGAAGCAGCAACACCGTCGGCTGTCCCGAGGCTTGTGCTTTTTCTCCTCTCTTGTCTCTTTTGGCAACCGTGCAGGTCTTTCGGCTTCTTAACAGAGAAACTTTACCCTCATTCTTCGAGCAGGAAGTCGTTGACCGTCTGACTATGAAACTCGTTTAGTGGAGTGCAAGAAATTCAGATGGGGCTGAATGCAACTCGAGCTGGCCATGGATCACAGCGAGGATTGAGTGTTTCTCCCAAGGCTCCAACCTTAACTGGTCATGCCAGTGCATGGTGGCAAATTCTGTCTATTAATAGTTCAGGTCCCATTGAACTGAAAATCTAATTCTTACTGTTCTTGATGCCCAAACGAAGAAGATACTTTGCATGTGCTTAGAGATTGTCATGAAGCAAAAGATGTGTGGCTGAGGATCGGTTAGCCTGATAGATTGCAAGAGTTTTTTTGGCACCGATCTGTCGGACTGCTGTAAACTGAACCTACGTGATCGAATGGGTAGAAGCGCAGAAGTGTGGGGTGCTCTGTCCTCGGTGGTCTGCTGGCTTTTGTGGTGGCGAAGGAATGAAAGAATCTTTGAGAACAAAGTTTCCTCTGCTAGCACTGTCCTCGCCCAAGCTATGGCGATTAATAAGAGTATGTCCGATGCTAGAATCAGATTACTCAAGGTGAAACTACAAGGAGCTAGCTCTGAAACAAGGGAGGAAATATCCAGCAGTGCCGATGAGAGTTATGGTTTATGTGGACGGAGCCTTTTCATATGCTTCTGGATCGGATCTGCAGGTTGCGGTGGGATCATGAGATTATAAGGGCTTGTAGAATGGCGTTGAAGAGAGCTTGGGAGAAAAAACTACTGGAAAGTGATCATTAGAAGGCGACCTCGTTGATAGTTGCGCCGATGAATGAGAAAACAGAGAAAATGACAAACCAGAAGATACGGCAGAGAGGCTAATTTCTTGTTATCTGAAATGATTGGCAAACCGGTTACATGTATAGGCGAGGGAGAGCCTTATTGTGCCAGCTATCACGGCCTTGGAATTCTTTTATTCTTGAACCATGTCAGTTTTGGTATGATCAACCTCTTGATCTTTGTCAAGTTAGCCAAACTCTGAAAATGTAAGTGAAGAAAGTAAGAAATTCAAAAACACAAGAGAGAAGAGAGCTTAGATGAGAAAACTTAAAAGCTTTATAAAAATGCTTACTTGGCTTGTTTTGCTTGTTTGGTTACAAATGAGGGAGAAAGGGGTATTTATAGGCATCCCCTTTCTTTCAAAAAGTTCTCATCTTCTTAATGAATGATTGGGATTAATTCAAACTGATGATATACATTCTATCTCTAGAATATTCTATAAAGATATCTATAAGGAATATCTTTGATATTTACAAGGATATTTTTAGATATTAGTCTTCAAAATATGTGTGAAATATTCTAAAATATCCTAAATATTCTAAACATCTCCACATTCCTTCCTAAGTTTTTAAAATATTGTAGAAACTTTTAGAATCTTCTAGATTTCTCTAGTGATTTTTAGATTATTTTAGATACCTCTAGAACCTTTCAAAACATTCTAGATTCTTCTTGAACGTCCTTTACTCTCCTAGGATTCTTGTCTTTGGACATCTTCAAAAATCTCATAGGTTCTCCTCTTTTTGGACACAAGTTGTGACAAAGTGTACTAATGTGCAAAGAATGAAAAAGCAGAGGTACAATCATACGTGTCACTTATACAGGATAAGCACAAAGGAAATATCTACAGCTTATACATTCTAACAGCTTTTGAATAAATAGTGAGCTCACGTCTCTTGGATTTAAGTCTTAGGCAGGTGTAATTAACATTTGGCTCATATGAGTCTTGGGCTCTATCTTTAACTCCCCTTTCAAACAAGAAGGTATATTTGTGACCCCAAGTTTGCTTCTTAAATAAATGAAAGGAGAGTAAAATAGTAGCTTGGTGAATAAATCAACATTTTGCTTATTTGATGGAACATAATTAATCTTCAGCTGTCCAACAAGAATTTGATCACGTACATAATGAATGTCAATTTCAATGTGCTTCATTCAAGCATGATAAATTGGATTTTTTGCTAACGCCGCTGCACTGATGTTATCGTACCATATCACTAATGTCCTCATTTTAGGAGTCCATAATTTAGACAACAATAAATTAAGCCAAGTAATTTCAACAGTTGGGCTAACTAGAGCTTTATACTCTAATTCAGTGCTTGAGCGAGCTACAACACTTTATTTCTTTGAACACCAAGATACAAATGAATTGTCAAGACACACAAAATATCCAATCACATATCTTCTATCAGTTGGACATGCAGCCTAATTTGCATCAGAATTATGCAGTTATCCATAAGTAAGTTGAAGGAGCAACAAATATACATGTACAAGTTTTACCTTTAAGATATCTAAAGATACATTTGATTCCTTTTCAGTGAGCTGATATAGGCTTGCTAAGGTATTGAGTCAACTAATTGATAATAAAAGAAATGTTCGGTCGAGTGTTAGTAAGATACTATAAAGCACCAAAGTTTACTTCTATAGGCAGTTATATCTTCAAGTAGAATGCCTTCATCGGCTCACATGCTTTTGCCTCCAGTCATAGGAATATTACAAGGAGCAATATATAACATTTTGTACTTCTTTAACAAATCTTCAAGATACTTTCCTTGATGAATAAAAATTCTAAAATTATCTCAAATGATTTCAAAACCCAAAAAAAAGTAAAGATCACTAGGATCCTTCAATACAAACATATCACTCAACTTCTTGATGACATTTTGAACTTCATTGATGTTGCTTCCAATTATAAGGATGTCAGTTACTGAATGGCTAGATTCACCCCTCTTTTTTAATATTTTATAGGCTCTATCTGCAATATGAAAATGAAAAGGCTCCAAGAGGCTTAAGAATCTTGGATTCATACCGTAAAGTCTCTTATTCTTATTTATTCTGTGTAATGGTTTAAATATTGCTAATTAGGATGTATTTTTATTTTACACTTATACTATATAATTATTTATGACATTTGGAAGGCATTTTAGGCCTTGAAATGTTAATTATGATAATTGTAAGTGTTAATACGGCTAAAATACTAGTACAAGTATAGTAAAGTTGTTTTAAACATGATATGATTGATTTTTGATAATGCTAGAACCTATCACTTTTGTTTTTAGCATTAAAGAGGTTGAGGGGTGAAAATGTGAAATAGTGATATGCATGTACATGTAGTGTTATAGTATTAACTATATCTAATGAATATGGTCTGGGTGTTAGGAATGACTTTTGACACTTGTAAGAGATTTTGGACACCCTTTTATTGAAAAAGGTTGTGAAAATATGTTTAGTTATCTAACTTCCTGGTGTGATTTGATTTGAAAGTAAAGCCCATGCTATTAGTTAACTTATATTATGAGCTTTTCATAGACATCTAGATAATCTCATTCAGACATTGAATGAAAAAATGTGACGCATGGCACAAAGAGTGGCAAGCCACGGTGCATCGTTCACAAGCCGCGGTGTACTGCTTTATTTTCAAAATCTTGAGATTTTTTAACTATTTTCAACTCCTTTCACTTCTTGAGGTATCCATGCTTCTGTAACTATATTTTACTCTAATTAAGAGTCTAGTGAATGGCTTTGACTTATTTTAAAATTATAAAAACTTGGGATCCTATTATTTAAAATTACAAACATAATAATCTCTTTATGGTTTAATCCCTTGATTACCTTATATTATGGTTTTAATTGTGATAAGTATAAGGGAGATATTTTAAATACACACTTTGTTAATGAAAAGCAAGCTTGTTTTGATTATAAGCTTGAAGATATGGATAGCATGCATAACTGAAGTCTTTCAAATTTTTACAATCTAATTGCTTTTTGTATGTCACCTTGTAAGGACTCTCAGCGGCAAGAACACTAGTGAGAAAAACATTAATAATAGATATAGTAGTGTGGAAAGCTTTCAACTAATAATACAATGGCATGTTTCCTTGTGCCAACATAAATAATCCCATTTTAGTAATATGTCTATGCTTTCTCTCAACTCTGCCATTTTGTGCAGATGTGTAAGGACATGATATTCTATATTGTATTCCTGAAGCAACAAAAATCTCTTGTAAGGCTTTATACTCTCCTTCCCTATCAAACTAAATTTGCTTAATCTTTTTGTCAAATTGATTCTCAACAAGTTTCTTAAATTAAAATGTACATAATATTTAAAACCATTAGATGAACTCATAAGTGTAAGACCTCGTACATTTGAATGTATCAAATCTAATGAAAATGAATCTCTTAAAACAGAGTTAGTAAATGACAGTTTATGAGATTTCCCATATTAGAAAACTTGACAGAATAGAGGTGTATTATTATTAATGTCAACATTACAATCATATAATACTTTAGACAAAATTGCAAACGAAGGGTGTCCTAATCAGATATGATACTTCATAAGATCATTACAAAATTGAATGTTATTTCCTAAGCTAGTCACATGAGCTCTAGCAATCCAAGCTCCTCTATCAATATCCAATCGAAAAGGACCATCATCAGTTGTTCCTTGCAACAACACCATTCTTGTCCTCTTGTCCTTCACATAGTAAACCTTAGAGTCAAAAATCACAATCACATTATTGTCCTTCAAGATTATTACAATACTGATTAAATTCATAGTGATATGAGGAGCATATGGAAAATCTTTTAAATATATCTTTTTGTTATTCAAATAAGTTAGATTATTGTTGCCAATACCTTTGATGGGAATCAATTGACCATTACCAACATATAACACAAGTTTACCTAGATAACCCACTGCTAGTGCACCAATATTAGCATCATTTTTCACATCATGGCTTGCACCACATTCAAGGTACCAAGGCTAACCTGCTACTGTGTTAGGTGTTGCTATGAGAGCATTGTAATAAGGAGGAGGATTATTGCCTCCCACTGGAGCAACTACATTGTTTCTAGTGACATTTTGAGAGAGATAGTAACAATCTGTATCAGTATGACTAAAGCTCCTACAGATTTGGCACTCAACACAACCATTGTTATTAGCCCTTCATACTTGCCCTCGGCCTTTAAATCCTCTTACTCCACAGTTCTATCCACCTCTCCAATTACCATGAAACATTCCCCTTCCTTGAGTATAATGTGCTATTAGAGTAGATGAATTTAGAGTAAAAGCATTCATTTGAGTCATAGTAAGATTCAACTTCTCTGTGTGACTTTCAAATGACATTAAAGCAACTTGAAGTTCGACCCATGTAAGGTCTTTCTGATTAGCAAGATAGATGAAAATAGGGTTATAGTTATGATCAAGTTGTGCAAGAACTTGAACAATGAGGTCAGAATTAAAAATCAGACTTTTGGCTAAAAATAGATTATCTAAGATGCTCTTCATTTTTGCCAAGTAGTTGCTTATTTTGGTAGTCCCTTTGTGAGTTTGCTGCAACTTCATCTTAAGTAATAGAACCTGAGATCCAAGATTTGTTCTAGCCAAGTCTTTAGCAGCTTTCCAGAGTTCAAATGCGTTCTTGCAATTGGTGATTTGAGAAGAAATTACTGGAGTCATTGAGTTATCGAGCCATCCTATCAACATTTGATCACAGGCTTTCTACTCTTGAAAAACTGGATTAATCTTTAGCTCATCATTTTCAAACATATACTGATAAGGACACAACTTTGCTCTTATGATGTGACCTTTTAAAGAGTATCCACTAATGATAGGAGGCACAATAGTTTGCTAGAGAAGATAGTTATCTCTATCTAGCTTGACAGAGATGGCTTGAGAGCTTGATGACATAATAGAGGGTGTTTTTTAGAAGAGACAAGTGATGGGAACAATGCTAGTTTTGGTGGCATTGGAGGTAGCAATGGCTATAGTGGGTTGTGACAGAGGGTGAGCCAAAGGTAACCATAAGCTCTAATACAAAAATAGAAAAAATGACAAAGTAAAAGATATGACAAAGAGGCTAATTTCTTGTTATCTGAAATGATTGGCAAATCGATTGCATATATAGGCCCTGGAGAGCCTTATTGTGCAAGTGCACTAATGTGCAAAGAATGAAAAAGGTGTAGAGGTACAATTATACATGTCACCTATATAGGATTAGCATAAAAGAAATATCTATAACTAATACATTCTAGCAACTCTTGAATAAAAAGTGAGCGCATGTCTCTTAGATTTAAGTCTTGGGCTGGTGCAATTAACACTGGGCTCATATGAGTTTAGAAGCATGGAGACAGCGAGATTCTTACTGAGATTAGGTCATTTGTCCAATGAAACTGGAAGGTGGAGATAGCTTATATCGCACGTGATCTGAATAATGAAGCAGACCCCTTTAGCTTCCACATTATGGATGCGACCTCTGTTGGTCTTTTATTTAATATGCCTGCCTTAAGTTAGTTTCTTTTTCTTGTGTTGATTTCTTCCTTCTCGTGTATCCCAAAAAAAAATCTAATTATTATTGGTTGTTCCATAGTTGCAAGTGTTTTCCATAAGATTCAAGTACACTATTATGGATTTGGTTTCACATTCAGAATCATCGAAATCATATATGATATCTAAGAAAGGGAAGAGCAGAGAGAAAAATAAGCTTATTCCAATATTTTAATTTCAAATGAACATTTCTCTTATAAAAATTCCATTAGCCTTTTATTTTATATTAAAATAGGGTCCGTGCATACTCCTTTCATTTTTATTTATAAGAAAAACTATCACTTTTTACTTATTTTTTTATATAAGCAAAATCATTTATTCCAATAAGCATTTATTACACATTTTTTAAATCATCCTTTATAATTTATATTAATAAAAAATAATTAATGCATACTTATGTTAATTAACATATGGCACTTTAGTCCAATTTGCTTATTTTTAGATATAATTATTATAGTTAATTAACTTTTTAAAATTTTATTATATATATTTTTTATCATATATAGAAGCGGAGGGAGTTTACATGAATATATGGTCTCAAAAGATCCAATGAAAATTAAGGGCATTCATGTCATTTCAAAGTTATCACTAAGCACAGGTTTAGCTTAAAGATTGGTTTTCTATACTAAGTTTATATTGGTCCTGAGCTCTGGGCCGGGCTCAGGAAAGATTGAAATGAGAGTGCTAGTGGAGAATGGAGTTTGATTACCTGGCAACCCTAAATCACATGCACGTGCCCCCTCTAATCTCTTCGGCCCCCCGCCTAAACTGATCTGGTGATCCCCCATCACCCCGAGAAAAGCACCTCCGTTGCTTGATCCTTTTTCTTTGTTTGTGTGCCAGATCATACCAGAAATACTCTCAGCCATTTCTCATAAATAATAAATAAACCAAAATTACTTTCGAGATGCACGATTATATTTTCCCCAGCCCCTCTAATAACCATACTCTACTCTGTTTTCATTGACTTCTCTTTCAATCCGGTTTGAATTTGTGGCTATGGTTTTCTTCCGTGAGGGTCACTATTTATGCTTTCTACTTTTTTTTTAATTAAAAAGAAGACAAAGAGAGCAAGACACTCCGGAACGACAAATTCCGGAATTTTCCCTTTAATTAATTACATGTTCTTCTTTTGTGTGTTGCATCATTAATTATTTTAATGATATCACCCGGGAATGTTAATTATTTTGAATTGAACCACCATCTATCGTCGCTGATCAATGTTAATGAATGCCCAAAATGCCTGATTCTCTGCTGTTCGTGGATGATAATAATGGAAGCTGATCGTAATTAGCAATTCATTATGGTGCTAATGACAGAGTATATTAGGAGCATCTGAATCAGCGCCACGGGGAGATCAATGAACAGGCGTTGCGCAACGGAGTCATTCTCAAATCGACATCGCAGCAAATATCTTTTGGAACTGATCGATCGACTAGAAACATGAATGCTGGAAGAGCAATTCTCACCGGCACATACCTACTAGGAGTTTGATGTCTACCCTTCGGAGCGATCCCTCACATTAATTTCTCACCTACTCTGCCACACAAGAGTGAAGCATATCAAGTGCTTCGGATGCCACTTGGCTCCATGCAAAATATAGAGATGCAAGGCGGTGGTAAATCTGAAGATAAATATAGTACTAGTATTTGCTTGTGACAGCGCTCTGGATGCAGGACGAATGGCGAAGACTATTTATGTAAACTGTGTTTTATTACTGGGCTGTAAAGACGGCTAGTAATTAGTGAGAGTGGGGCTGGCGAAGCCCATATTTTGATACGAAGAATGAAAAATTTTACGAGCGAAGGAAAAGGTACGATATGGAATTGGGCGGAGCAGTTATTGGAGGGTACTTGCTTCCGAGCTTGATTCGGCGGCTGCTTTAAATCTGGAGTGGTGGTAGAAGAAGGCATTTATGATCGTGGCTTGCAGAGATGAAAATCAACGTACCCAGACCTTTTATAAAGCCACGCACCCCTTCATTGCCAATGCACTGCAAGGTATGAGTAAATCGATCCCACGTAGGTGCATTGTTACAGAAAACTGAAAAAGGGCATATGGCTAGCCGTTGGGTGTTTGGTTATTATTGTGCAATAGCAGGCTTGGCGGTGGCAGTGGGTTCAGTATCTGCACAGCCAAAGAGGGCTTTCTTTGTATTCGGGGATTCACTGGTGGATAGCGGCAACAATGACTTCCTGGCAACCACCGCACGCGCAGACGCTCCCCCCTACGGCATCGACTACCCGACTCGCAGACCTACTGGACGTTTCTCCAATGGCCTTAACATCCCTGACTTAATCAGTATACATCCTCGATACCATCACTCTCTGTCCCGTTTTATATGTAAACGACTCCAATTAATATGCTTAGTTTCGGTATATATGCATATATAATTGTACGAGCTTATCTTGCAGGTGAGCAGCTTGGTTTAGAGCCTACTCTCCCGTATTTGAACCCTCTACTGACTGGAGAGAAGCTGCTGGCTGGTGCGAATTTTGCGTCGGCTGGTATCGGGATTCTCAATGACACAGGATTTCAGTTTGTGAGTAATTAATTATGCGTCCATCATTTCTATTGTGGTGTCTAGGACGTGAGATTAATATACCCACATGTGCGGGTACTGTATATATGGCAGCTGCACATCATCCACATCTACAAGCAACTCAAGCTTTTTGAACATTACCAGCAAAGGCTGGGAGCGCATATCGGTGAAGAAGGAGCCCGCCGACTGGTAAACGGAGCGCTCCTGCTCATCACTCTCGGCGGCAACGATTTTGTCAACAATTACTATCTGGTTCCCTACTCTGCAAGATCTCGCCAATTTTCTCTCCCTGATTACGTTCGCTATCTCGTTTCCGAGTACCGTAAAATTCTCAGGGTGGGTTTTCTTTCCCTCATTATTCGGGATTAGATTCCTGTTGCATAATACACATGTTCATGTTAGTCTCTGTGCGTGGCCGTTACCATATACACGCCTCTTACGTGACTTATAGATGGTGGTGTTCATGCAAAGTGACAACTGATCACATGGATGTCGGGTTGGGTTGGTGTGGCATGCCCGGATTTGTCTGTGTAAATTACTTATTAAATGCGCGCGCGGTTTTGATTCGAGTCACACTCATTTAATTAATTAAGTACCACGTTGATCAGCTCTCTCTCTCTCTCTCTCTATCTATATATATATATATATTAGAATGAACAAATAGTTATTGTTTTGTAGTGTGATTTAATTGTTTGTGTTTGGTCAAGGCAGAGGGTGTATGATTTGGGAGGAAGGAGGGTGATCGTGACGGGGACGGGACCGATGGGGTGTGTTCCGGCAGAATTAGCCATGAGAAGCAGAGATGGGGACTGCGACGAGGAACTCCAGAGAGCAGCATCCTTATTTAATCCGCAGCTAGTGGACATGATCACAGGTCTTAACCGGGAGGTTGGTGCTGACGTGTTCGTGGCAGCGAATGCTTATCAAATGCACATGGACTTCATTAGCAACCCTCAAGCTTATGGTAAGTGCGTGCAGATGTCACTGTCGGAAAGTAATTATCGAGTGTGCTGTTTTAGTCAACATGTTCCGATTGGGCCTGCAGGATTTGTAACGTCAAAGGTAGCATGCTGCGGACAAGGCCCATACAACGGGATTGGACTGTGCACCCCGCTTTCAAGCCTGTGCCCGAATCGAGACCTCTACGCCTTCTGGGATCCGTTCCATCCATCGGAGAAGGCCAGCAGAATTATAGTCCAGCAGATTCTGGCAGGCTCCACTCAGTACATGCACCCCATGAATCTCAGCACCATCATGGCCCTCGATTCCACCACTTGATATCTCCGCCACGTCCATCATGTTTATTTATGTCCTCTGTTTTCTTCGCGTAATTCCCGCATGTATTCCTAATCTCCATCCCTTGCGCTAATAAAGTATTCTTGTTCTCCTTCCATTGGATACTTCACAAGTTTATTCTTTTACATTTGCTCCCATATTCGGACGAATTAATTTTCCGTTCCCAACATCAAGCGCCGAGTGGGGCAACGGAAAATTATATATGCAAATCACTAGGTACTCATTCAAATCTAATCACTTTATTGTTATCAAGTCACTGTATTAAATTATATTTAATTTAATTTTGTATATATAATTCGTTTAGACGGCAAACCGAACCAAAATTAACTCCTACTGGCTCCTGGCTAGTGGAAGGGTGAGTGCAAAGTTGCTAACAGGGATTAATTTGACTAGGTTCAAACTTAAGGAGCTAATCATCCAATTCATGACTATTTATATATTATATAATTTTTTTAAAATATTGTTATTAATACACTGATGACTAGTTATTTTTGCGGTTGCAGTATCTATCAATTATATAAGTGTAGTATGAGGGCAATTAGGGGCCTGCGCTCTGAAAATTTTACGTTACAGTTCGCAAGCGAAAGACCCCTGAACGCGCGCACGAACACGATAACCCTCTCTCACCCCTCTATTGTTGACGCCGCTACGTCATTGTCACGCGCCCCTATTTTTAAATATAGAATAAAATAACAAATTTAACCATAAATTATTAAGAGCATTTGGTAGCTTAAACTTTTAATAGTGCGAAATAAATCATGAAAAATGGAGCATCCAATAGCCCGTCATTAATTTCAGCTAACGGACGTTATGTAGGGCCCACAATGACACATGACACGACATGTCAGCATGGTAAATGTATAAATTTAGTCGTGAATTATTTTTTGAGGAGTGTTGGATAGCCTCTACTATAAAAAAACGGACCATTCAACACCTTCCTATCGATTTTGATCAAACATTATTTATTTTCATACTTATAAAGCCCATAAAACATTAATCTCTTCAATCTTCTTGCATTTGTTCTCAATATAAGCTCCAAAAAAAGAGGCTCAATGAGTTTTTATTTAAAAATATTCATAAGAACGATGCCAATAAAGTAGAGACTAATTTTACTATGCATGTAAAAAGCTTGATTTTAGCTTAATTTAATCATGAATTATTTATTCTATTTTGTTAGCATTATCTTCATGAATATCTTTAGATAAAAACTCTTTGAACCTCTTCTTCTTGAATTGAGATTAAGAATGAAAGCAAGAAGATAAAGAGATTAATGCTTTATGGGCCTCATAAGTATGAAAATAAACGGTGTTTGGTCAAAATTGAGGGAAAAATATTGGATGATCAATTTATTTATTGTACAGGCTACCCAATGCTCTTTAAAAATAATTCGTAGCTAAATTTACACCTTTACCATGCTGACATGTCACGCCACATGTCATTGCGGGTCCCACATAATGTCTGTTAGCTGAAGTTAATGGTAGGTTACTAGATGCTCCATTTTTAAAAGTTATTAATTTATTTTACTAGGTTACCAAATGCTCCTGTAAAAATAATTTGAGGCTAAATTTACAGCTTTATCCTTAAATATATCCAGCACAACCTAAGTTATTTATCCATTTATCTTTGAAAACTATAGTCTCTTATTCCAATTTATAAAATATTTTTAGACAAATCAACATAAATTAATAAAATTTGTTAAATATACCTTACAATTTTATTTTTTAAAAACAAAAAATAAATATTTAAAAATATTCTTCATTTGATACTCTATTTATAAAATAATATTAAAGAAATATAATATAGTGAGTATGATAACATTGAAAAAATATCGTTAACGAAATTTTATTTTTATAAAAGTATTTTATATTTTAGAATATTGAGTCTTTTAAAAAATATTTTATAATTTACGACAAATGTAATGTAAATTAAATGAGCAAATTAGAATTAGGAAAAAACACGACGCCTGCAAAGAAACAAATTAATTGAACAAATTATGCATGTATGGGATTTGTTGATGCGATGAATTGCAATTACAATAAAAATAAATATTTTTTAAATGCTAATGTAAGGAAGGTACTCATTCGAATCTAATCACTCTATTGTTATAGAATCACTAACATTATGCGAAAATTATATATGCAAATCACTAACTGCTTAATTAAAATAATTCTATGGTGATCGATTAGGGAATTAGGCATGATGTAGCTGTCCAAAAAAAAAAAAAAGAGAATCACATCTAGGATATGAGAAGAAAGTTATCTGCAAACAAGGATTAATAATAAGTCTTGTTTAAAAAAATAACAAGTTTATATTCTCATTTTAAAAATAACTCATTTAATATGGGTCATTGTTTATAAGTTACTTTTTCATCTTATCCTTAGATATAATTCTTCCTAAAAAAATATAATGGTAGATGTAGGGCAAGCAAAAGCACAAGTGCAAAATAGGGCCACATAAAGGAAGGATGTGATAGGACTTTGGCTTAACTTAAATTCTAGTCTTTTTTATTAAAATGATTGAGTTAAGCAACACATAATTTGAAATAATCTATACGCTTAACCTAAAATTAAATAGGGCCAGACTTGGTCCATGGGTAGTTTGTGCCTCACTTTACTTTTTTTTTATTTTTTTTTATTTTTCATCAATAAAAAGCAATAGTTCTTTTCAACTAGATAACTCAATTAACATAACAAAAATATTTATAATAGTACAAAATTTATCATAAAGCATTAAAAGCTAATAAAAATAATTCCATAACAATCTTCAAAAATAAAAACAAAAGAATTTCAGTTATATTTAAAAGCGCACATAGTTGATAAATATTACTTCTTCTATTTCATCATCTTTGTCGTTTGAGAGAAAAAATTTTGTTTCCTATTTTATGTCATCTCAAATTAAAAAATAATAATAAACACCTTTTTATATTTTGCTGTCGAAGTAATTTACTAATTATTATAGTAATATTTGAGAGGCATTAAACGAGAGAGAAAGTTACCTGAGTAACATGTTATTTTATTACTTTTGTTAATGTAGATTGCCTTTAATCTTCTATACTGCAAACCATAATTATATAAAATTTTATAAAATGTAAAAACATTAAAGGAAAAACAAAGGGACTTGAGAGAAAGTTACCTGAGTAACAACGACAGTTAGATCACTTCACTTCTTTAACAAAGACGGCTATTGCTTAACAACAACCAAATATGTGTTAGTGTGTGAAAGATAATTATTACTTCATCAACTATAAGTAACATATTTCATGATCTATAATAATAAAATTATTATTATAGAATTTCACCCAAAAAAATTATTATTATAGAAATTGATAGGTAAAAGAATTATATTCAATTATTATGCAAAGGAAAGTCAAAATGATATGTGAAAACTATACACCAAACACTGGAGATCAATGAACTAACAACCAATGAGGAAGAAAGTTAATGTGAGAAAATTAAATTATTGGACATAATAAATTAAACAATAATTATTTCTTTTGTATACATAAATTAAAATTTATATAATACTTGTTTCATTTTGTAATTTTTCACCCTGTACATATGGGAAACATAAATAACATAGCCCCTGTATATTAAAAATATAAGAAATAATTTAGTATTTCAAGATTTGTGATTTTATAATTTATTATGTAGATTCTATAATTTATTAACTTATACATATAAAACAAGGTTAAATGGTAAAAATATCTTGAAACTTTTTTCAATGAGCGCCTGGTATTTTAAAATTTTTTTGAAGCATTTTTGCCTCGAAACTTTTTCTTTAGAAATGTCTAGCATCCTAATCTTCTAGATATGCTTCTAGAAGATTTCCAAGAAAGCACAATGAGCATCAAGCGCCGCTTGTGGAATTTGATCTTTACTAAAGGATGTTTATCTCTTTTTAGCATAACCCCACAGTTCCAAGAGAACTCTCAATTATTCTATCTATCAACTATTCTAAAATGCAATTGCTTTTAATTTTAACCAACTTTGAGACATTTATGGGATCCCTTAACGTGTGCAATTGATATCTATATACCATCAACTGTCTTCTGTCTAGATGATTGCTAAAACCAACAAAAGTGTTATGAGGATTTAAGAGAAATCGATGAAGACATTTGGAGGCATAAGAGGAGAGCCCAAGCTAGAAGATTAGACATTTTTGATCCATGGATAATTGCAAAGTCAAATCAAATCATCTAGTGCAATTCAGCAAGTGCAAACAGAACACAAAGAAAATTCAGACTAAATCACAAAATCCTTAAACTGAATCAACTCTACCAAATCCTCCTCTGTCTTTAAGAATTTGAAGAGAGGAGGTCACATATCATAGAGTTAAAAGACTAGGCAACATGTCGAAAATAGATGAGGAAAAGATCATATTGAAAACTCAAATAAAAAACTCTAGTCCCACACTTCAGAGATTGAAGAATCTAATCGTGCCTTCTTCAAGTATGATGGCAATGAAAGACAACCTCATAAAGCCATTGCTAATTGAAACACAAATTCCTAAAGATTGAATAGAAATCACAAAAGGTTAGATTGAGTAGCTTATAGTGTTTCCACTTTGAGCTTTAGAGTTTTTATTAGCAACTGTATATTTGAGACAAGAGGAGTGAATGTGAGATGTCTCGCACTAGTGGAGGGGATTTCTATTGGGTCGTGATGTTAGCTCATACAATTTCATCTTGGATACACAGTGGGATTTTGTGCAATGGTAGTTTTGATCACTGCAAGAGTTGTTGCAAAAGGCATGGAGAGGTGAGATAGTTAAATAAAATAACAAAAATATTGAAGCAATAAGAACTTTTTTTACCTATTCATATGAAATTGTCGACGCTTTGGGGAGATTTGAAAAGAGTAGTAATGAAAATTAAGGAAAATAATATATATGAATTTTGAGCAAGTTGTTGTGGTCTATTTAAAAATATCTATGGGAGTAGGATAAGCGCAAGTTTACATTCATTTTTTTAATTTAATTATTGTGTGGAGGGAATGATAGAAGGTTTTAGGAGGATATGGAAGAAGCAAGAAGTGCATGGCAATGATGTCCAAAATAATTTGTGAGGGAATCGGTATAATTATATATGAAATAATTT